GGGGGGTGGTTCGTTAAGTTATTTTCAGAAAAAATGTTCTAGAAATTAGACAATGAGATGAAGAAACAAAGGGTCTTTGAAGTGGAAACTAGGAGGGGAATAATCATTGAAGTCAAATTTAAGAACAATACGACATCTAACACAAACATAACTATGTATCAAATACCAAAAATGCCCTTCTAGTAAAGTCAATAAAAAAATTACGTCGACATCATAAGAGCATCTCCCTTAGGTGTTCCTTTTGGACATTAATAGGAACTAGAAACAGGTAAAAAGAGGTCTTGGGTACAAAACACTGATTAGTTCAACCAACTTTTTCCAGCAAAAAAGCATTAAATCTTATCCATATTCTTCATGTTAAGGCCAGTCTGAACTATTTGTATACAGATTCAGAGCCCTAAAATTCGTGCTTCAATTGTAATACTTAACTCTTTACTTTTTAAACAAGACAATAGTGTCAGGAAAAACAAACAGTAATATGCCTTGATATTGAGGAACTTGTGGTAGGGAACTATTTTGTATTTGAGGAATAGTTGATTGGTATCGTTACTTGCGGGCTTCCAGCTTCTTCTGCTCTTTGGCTGCACACCAACGAATAGTATGTTAATCCTCGCAGCAGAAACGGAAAAGGAAAATTTTAAGAGATCGGTATAACCATCCAAGAAATTACCAGCTTTCTCTTCCTCTCGCTTTTTTGCAGCTTCTGCTCTCTGTTGTCGTATGAGAGCCAACCGATCTGCAAAATCATGGAATAAAATTTAATCTAGCATAACTACATAAATATAGAGCAATAGCAACTACTTATGACAGTTCTAGTTATAGGTATCGCACTCCCGGAACTAGTTCATCTCGTCCAATTTTACCTTGAAACAGTGCAACCTATGCAATCACTTATACACAGAATACGCCCCCTGGGGGCCTTTTCCCCTAGTTCTTTTTTTGTTGCAGTGTGTTGGTGTGCGCGAGATAAAATTTACTGATGTCTGTAGTAAAAGTTTTCTAAAGCTGTCATCACATTTCATAATTTCCAAAAAAATACAAATTTCATGGTCATTTATGCTAATATTGCAAAATTATATATCCCAAGGAGAAGGGGATGGCTGAGTGGTTGAGGTATAGGAGTCCCATCTGAGCTCATCTGCTCTAGTCTTGATGCACAAGATTACCTATTGTGAGTTACAGGAAGCTACTCGGTAAGTTAGTCACAGAGTACCAAACTGACCAGGACATCACCGTGTATGTGAGTATATAATTTGCGGGTGTAGAGCAAATAGGCATTGGAGAAAAAATGAGAAAAGCGGGAACAGAGTTACCTAATTCAAAATTCGCAAATTACTTGAACTACATTGTAAACCAAGCTGCAGAGACTCATACTAGGAATATCCTATCAACATAAAACATAACATGCACTAGACACTTGGTTTAGGACATCTGAATATTAAATGTATCAAAAACAAAATATGAATGGACCTACAAAATTGTCAAGTGAAGTGAATGAACACCCAATTTAAAGAAAAGGTGAACTGAACCCAATCTGGGCAATTCTAAACTTAATAAATAGAAAGAAGTAGTATTATGTGTGGCATTACCTAAATCTTTCCTTGCTTGCTCTGTTTTCCCTTGTTCTTGCAGCCTCATGTACCTTTCATGAGCTTGCTGTTTCTCTATCTCTTCTCTGTGAGCAAGAACCATGTGAAATAACAATAATATAGAAGCCAAAAAGTACTGAAACATATAAAATTTCAACGAGCACAACACTAAATAGTGAAAGAAGGGACAAGTTTATAGATCCTTTGAAGGATCTAATTCAAGAGCATTTCTACATTTCTGCATTCTTTGAATTCGAGATACAAACATCACAAAGAGCATAGAAAACTTGAAATCACTATCCAGATATACGATGTTCAAATTAAGAAATCCACAGGATAAAATGACGACTCTAAATAATTTAATGTATATGGATTAAAAAAAAGGATCGATAGCAATATACATTTCATACGGTCGAATGTACTAAATAATGATGAGAAAATTCACTATAAATTCAATCAAAATTAGCGCTAGAATGTAACAATTATAAGTTGTTAGAATCCAATATGAGAATGCAGATAACAAAATCCAAGTTTTGTACAATTTCATTAACAAATTAAGTGAACTATGTTATGTTCAATAGAACATTATAGTAACCATACTCGATTTGTAAAATATTATATGGATCGAAAATAACATGCATCATCCAAGAAAAAGGAATCAAAACATGACAGCTCATTACGTTTTATTTTGGCCAACTTTGAGATGCAGTATACTTAAAATTATATGTCTTCCATCTTTAATTGTCACATGTGCACTTTGTCGACGAGTCACATGCACTTACAATTAAACTTTGTAAAACCATTTTCGAAGTTTATAGAATGAGTGTATAAGTGATACATATTCTTGATAATTACTCATTCTGCAAACTTCAAAAACAATTGTACAACGTGTAATTATTACTGCATGTGACTTGTCGACAAGTGCACACCTAAAAAATGGAAGATATAATTAATCGCTGGGATATGAGGTGGAATCGAAATAGCTAAGACATGCTCGGGGGAGACTATGCCGTTGCTTTATATTCTTGATTTCCAGCATTTCAAGTCCCATGTTATATGAAATGCTGGAAATCAAGAATATAAAGCAACAGCCATGAGAGGTAAGAACCAAAAAGTAGGAACATCTAGCTTAATGATCATTTTAAGTACAAGTGAAACGTAGTTGATGCCACAGATAGTAGGAGGCACAAAGTATGCCTTCTCTTTCAACTTCACATGAACAGAAAAGTAAATGACAAAAACTAAAGAGAGATTCATTGTGATAATACCACACTATAAAACAAAAAAAATAAGCTTCAACAAACCTCTCACGTCTTGAAAGCTCAGTTGTTTTTTCAATCTGCAAAACAAAAGATCCCCATTCAAATACAAGTCCGGAAAACAATCAATATCAAAAGATAACAAAATATCACACTATCTTACATCAACATTTTTAGCTTTCACATTCTTTGGTTTGACCAAATTAGGGTTCTCAATCTCAATGATACCTTCTGTACCTTTCCTCTTCTGTTTGAACAGCCAAAAGCAAAGAGCAAATGTTAAAGGTAGCTCCCGAAGCCTCATAAAGTAAAAACCACATCAAATTATTAAAGAAAAGATTTTTTTTCTTTTTTGTTAGGGAATGCGTCATAGATAACTGACTTCTGTCTCTCCATCAGATTCTTCTTCAGACTCCTCAGATCTCTCATCTTCCTCATGTTCAGCCTCTACCTGAGGAAATCAAATTCATTAAAGAAAACGAATTGCATCAAGGTAAGCCAAAAGTCACTGATAATCATAACAGCCACTAGCTGCCATCAAATACCAGATTATTCTCTTCATTAAAGAATACATTTTAGTTACAAACCAAGATAAAATATACTGATTTAACGAAACTATAAAATCTAAGGAGACAACTAAAAAAACTGCATTGACATAGTTTATAGGACAACACCTA